ACAAGAACGTGTGATCCCTCGTTTTCATGTTCCCAGGGTGCCCCAAATAAGCATGGGCTTTCCAATGCTACCCCTTTTAAGCCAACCTGTGGAAAATCCGCACTCCCGAGCGATGTAGCTATAGTGACCTAACCTGTGGTGTAGACAGTGCTATGTTGGCAGGAGAGCTTCTCCCATTGACATAGCTCCGGCGTCTCGCACAGGTGGATTAACTACGCCGACGGGAGATGCTCTCCCATTGGCGTAGCAGCATCTTCACTAAAGCGCTACAATGGCACAGTTGCACTGGTGCAGCTGCAGCACTATAGGTGAAGACAAGCCCTAAATTTGAAAGCTTGTCTCTCTCACCAACAGAAGTTGTTCTAATAAAATATATGACCTCATCCACTGTATCTCTTTAAGAGCTTTGAGTCATTTTCTCTGAGAAATACTCTCTTGTGGAAATTCTTCCTCGTGTTTTGTTTTCAATTATATTTCTAGTAAAACTGGTTCCATATACAGTACTGCAACATTGGAATTTTTTTCTGTTGCACCTGTGTTATCTGTTTAAAGTTATTCTTTATGTATGTTTTTATACTGTACTCATCACCATAGTATTTGAAGTACCATAGTTAGGGCTTTGACTGTAACAGCTGTGAAGAAAACAAATTGATGGACGTCAGTAATACAAATTTAATAGACTACCTATCTATCCTTTTCTAATGTACCTATCACAGTGGTATCTGGTTTTTATTGTTCATACATATTTTGTATTTATTTTTGCTATAGATGTAAAAAACAAATAAACTTATTATTTTTCATGTAGTTATTTTCAGACTCATGCCATAACCTCTGCCCACATATTCTTGGCAGTGGAATTCCAGTGCCTGCACAATGAGAGGCTGAATTCAGAGCAGGGACTCACTGTTTCACAGCTGATAGAGGTCAGTTCATTTTGGGGAGGATTTCCTACACAGCTGTACACTGAGGAAAAGGAATTCATAGGGTCAAAGTAGTTAAAAATGGAAAATACTCAATAGATCTCCTGGAAGGATAGGATATTGCCATGGGATCTTTACTATTAATCTGGATGGGCAGCCAGGATCTCAAATTAATGTTTTATGGGAAAGCTGGATTTGTATCTTATTTATGGTGTGCACCATCATATCTTAAAAATATGCTACTGTACAGGAACCATCATCACAGTGTGTTGATTTATAAGAATACACGTTGGTGTGGTTCTGTATGTCTGAGATCAGAATTAAGCCCTTATGCTTCAATAATTTGGTAGGAATAAAAATTACAGAATCTAGATTTAGTATCAAATATATGTTCTAACATGCAGAACCATTAGCTCTTTCCAAACTCACTTAAAACCTAGTGAACTTTTAATCCTAAAACTAGTAAATGGAATCTCTTCGCCTGCCTTAATTGAGGCTTTTGCTAAGCAGTCTGTTCATTCTTAGAATCATAAATCATGCACTGAAACCTTGCCACATGGCTGCCCTCTAGCAGCTATTGTAAGAATCTCTCTCTCTCAGTAGAGATGTCACTATTCTTAACAGGTTTCAGAGTGGCAGCCGTGTTAGTCTGTATCAGCAAAAAAAAAAAACAACAAAAAACCAAGGAGTATTTGTGGTACCTTAGAGACTAACAAAATTATTTGAGCATAAGCTTTCGTGGGCTAAAACCCACTTAATCGGATGCATGCAGTGGAAAATACAGTAGGAAGATATATATACACAGAGAACATGAAAAACTGGGTGTTGCCATACCTGTTACAGTTGGCACAATTGGTTAGGAAAATGAAAGCTCATTATATTAACGTAGATGAAAATGTTACATTGTGTAAATCTGCATGTAGAATCTTTTATATTGTATAATCTGCACTCAGACCATTAAACTATAGGGGGTATTATTGACCCAACATATAGACCCAACACACTGGTCTAACTTGTGTATCCATAGCATTTAGAGCAATCTGAAATCATATTATTAACTCTTGAGGTGTGAATACACTTATTTTACTCCTTCCCATAATACAAGGACCAGGGGTCACCCAATTAAATTAATAGGCAACAGGTTTAAAACAAACAAGAGAAAGTACTTCTTCACACAATGCACAGTCAACCTGTGGAACTCATTGCCAGGGGTTATTGTGAAGGCCAAAAGTATAACAGTGTTCAAAAAAATATTAAATTCATGGAGGATAGGTCCATCAATGGCTAATAGCCAAGATGATCAGGGACACAACACCACACTCCTAATGTCCCTAAACCTCTGAATGCCAGAAGCTGGGACTGGACAACAGGGGATGAATCACACAATACATTTCCCTGTTCTGTGTATTCATTCTGAAGCATCTGGCACTGGCTACTGTTGAAAGACAGGATACTGGGCTAGATGGACCATTGGTCTGACCCAGTATGTCCATTCTTAAGTTCTCAAATTCTTAAGTACTTTTTCAGTGTGCACATATTTGTAATAAGTTTTAAAAATGTATTATTCAGCCATTTAAAAAAGCTTTAAATAACCAAAACCCTTACTAAGGACTAAATATATGTAGAATTTCCTCTTAAAAGACAAAAAAGCTTGGGAATAGCAGCAAAAATATTAATAAATTAGAAAACTTCCATTTCTCCCACCCTACAACAGACAAAGAGTGTGGTGGGTAACAAAGCAAGCAGAAGACAACCCAGTGCATGTGGAAACATCTCCCGCATCTTTCAGAACTCATATACTAACTCTACTTAGGACGGATGAATGCCTGATGATGGTAAACATTACTCTGATTCAAATTATACTTTTTACTGAAGTAATAATACCGATAATGTATTGCATTCATATAACAGCACTATTGGAATTCTGAAGGAAGGTGGGAAACATGATGTGTTTCTAAGTCATTAATGGCCTTCTAGGTCATGGCTATTTTGAATGCCATAGGTAATTTTCTTTACAGTTTTGTTTGTTTATGCTTTACATTATTGTTACAATAAAATGACACCATTAAGGTTTATTACTCAAAATTTCAACTATCAGCTGGATTTTGGGTGTGTGCATATTACAAACACTTTCTCTTTGCTTTATTTCTAGGCACATAAAAAATGCTGTTCTTGGTCCTGTGTGATTGAAGGACTGGAGGTTACAGATATAGTGGAGTTGGAGATCTTCAAGCTATGTGCACAGCCTGTTTTCTTAGGGAGAAAGTCCACTTGGTTTATCTTTGTAGGCTCACTCAGAAGAATAATTTTAATTTAAAGTCTGGTTGCAGTAATTGTTTTCTGAAGGGGAAAATCCCATAATTTCTGTAACCAGGAGGGCACTGTGAATGCAAATATAGTTCCCTTTTCACTGGGGGATTCCAGCAGCATCACCATACCTGCCTACAATGGAAAAATGAAAAGTCTAAGATTTTCCTCTTGGCTAACACCTCCTCATTCATCCCCTCTGTACTATTTGAACTTGAGCATTATTTTTATCGTAGTCTGCATAGATAGTCTATCTCTCCACTCAGTCTCTATTTTATTCAGTTTCTTTTTACTCTGTGTAGCACCCACATCCTTGGTGCTGCCAAAATTCCAGAGATTTTCCAGCCAGCACTGATGGCCTGAGAAATCTGCCGCAAAAGCTGAGGTCTGAGTGTCACCCATTGGGACCAGCAAAATGCTATGTTGTGATGCTGCATTATGACATGATTTTTTTAGACATAGTATCATAATTTAATCTCATCATATTGCTGGCATCTTTATGGGACACCATGTTTATGAGTGTTACTCATGGGTCACTTTTAGGGCACAACAGCAAATCATAGTCCCTTTGTGAAACTTCTTGATGTACTAGTGTCTCTATGAAACGATGTATTTGTGTGTTTTTCTTGTGTCCTCTGATTAATTTGTGTGTGTAGGGGAGGGGCAGGGGGAGAAGGGTGAGAAGGTCACACTTTAAGACCCTGGAAGCCATCAGCAAACTATCATTGTAGCATTATGGCCCACTGCCATCTGGCAGGCTGTATTGTTGCTACCTCCTATTGTGAGAGGCTGGTGTCTTTCCATGAGCTGTTTGTGTGGGTTTCCTTGTGTCCTTTCATTATTGTGCAGGTGGGACATTTGCTCCCCGCTACCCCAGGGGCCAACAAATGGTCATAAAACACAGCACCTGTCCTCATTGCCATGTGGCCCCTTGTGTCTATGCTAGTGTTTGCCTCCTGACCCCTTGTTAATTTGTCAGGGTCACTTTGTGTCACACCCCTGAGGCAGTCCACAGATTGCCATGACATTGTGAGGCGGGGTCAGGGCAGGCTGAGGTGGTTTATACCAGATCCCCTCGCTACGGAGCCAGGTAGGGTGACCAGACAGCAAATATGAAAAATCGGGACAGGGGGTGGGAGGTAATAGGAGCCTATATAAGAAAAAGACCCCAAAATCTGGACTGTCCCTATAAAATCGGGACATCTGATCACCCTAGTGTGAGGGCATTGTGTCTCTGTGTGCCACGTATGTGCCTTCAGCCATTTCTTGCCCGGGCACCTCAGGGTCTCCAGCCTCCTCTCTGCACCACAGTAGACATGGAACCGGCACTGCGCTGCTTGAGGCTGCACCGCCAACTCTGTTTGGTTGACGAGCAGCTGTGTCGGGGACACTCTCCGTTGGTGTTTAGATGAGTCCCCGCTAGGGGCCGGAGCCACTGGCTGAGGAGGGGCACCGGGATGGGGGGTGTGGCACGAAGGAGGAGCAGCCGCGCCTGTGGGGCGGGCGGGGATGATTGGCGGCTCACTGACCCACGCAGAGACTTTTCCCGCCCGCGCGCCCCAGGCGGCGCGCGCGACTCAGGACGCGCCCGGAGGCAAGAGGGAGCGCGTGACCCGGCGCGCGCACCCCTGCCCAGCACGAGCGCGCGCGCGCTCGCCGTCGCCTGCTTTGGGCACGGCCCGCCGCGTGCGGTTAGGAGTGCCCCGTGATTGGCTCGAGCTCTGAATCCTGCGCGCCGCTTTGTGCGGCCGGGGCCCGTTGAGAGTGGGCGGGGAAACCCCGTGTACAGGACACCGCCATCTTGGATAAGGGAGGGATGGGGGCGCAGTAAAGCCGTCAGAGCTGAGCCTGTGGGAGCCCCGGAGAGAGGCGGAGACCCAGCCCGGCCGCCGCTGCCCAGCCCGAAGCAGAGCCGTACAGCGCCCAGAGGGGACCGGGCTGCCGCCGCCGCCGCCACCGAGAGAGCCAAGCTGCACAGCCACCAGCTCCCCGAGCCCAGGTAATAAGGAAGCGGCGGCACCTCCTCCACAACGCCGGGCCCAGAGAGCCAGCCCCCGCCCGGTCTCGGCTCGGCCCGGCCCGGCCGGCCTCCTCCTGAACCCGGCCGGAACCCCTCCTTGCCTGGCGAGTCATCCCAGGACTGCACTCGGAACCCATCTCCTGGCCCCCTTGCCCTGGGAGCCTTTCAGCCCCCGCAGCGGTGCCCTCCTTCCCCTCCCCACAGCCACCCGCGGCCTAGCCTGGTGATCACTCCGTGCCCAGGCCTCGCTGGGACGTCTGCTCCTCCTCCTCCCTTGCGCCGCTCCCCTTGCTGGGAGGTCCGCGGCGGATGCAGCCCGCACCCCGCATCAGTGGGCCCGAAGCCCCCTGTCCCCCGCCTGCTGCCCTGCCACCAGCCGCCTCCCCGTCTGTAACGATGAGGCACAATGGAAGGGGACAGAGCCAGAGCCCTGGGGGCTGGGCCTGCCAGGTAGGGTGAGGCTGGCTGGGCAGGAGCTAGGCCTCTGCTGCGCTGGTTCTCTGGCCTCCGCCTCCTCTGCGCTGCTGCACACTCGCATTCCCCTCATGTATGTGTGCAGTATGTGCCCCTGCGTAGTACGTGTGACTGCACGTGTGTGTGTATCGTATGTGCACTCAGGGTTTGTATACAGTAGGGTATGTGTTTGCGATGTAGGATGTTTTTCTGCTGTCCCTAACTTAAATATTTAAAATTTACGTTGCATGAAACTATGATAAAGAATCTTTCATGTAGGAATAATAACAAATCCTCCAAATCTTTGTCTGAGTGTCCCCCCAAAACATTCTGTAGTTCACTCTTTTAGGCAAAATTATTCTAGATGCTGCACAGGAAAATGGATTAAAAGATTCATCGTTGTTTTCTGTCTCCATCACATTTCTAATTGTCTTTTAACGATGATATTCTGGAGTGGGTGGATGGCTTATTTTGGAAACAAGTTTGTGACAACAAAAACACTGGCTTCATCATTTCTGTGAAGCAAGGAAAGGTGTGTGTTAGGCTCTGTCTATAGTTATTTTGCTTTCAAGTCTATACTGTTGTGGCCTTTCTTGCTACTCAGTTTCTTTCTAATAGTCTTAAATTGAGTGGCTACATGAGGGGTGGAGGACACACAAATATAGATACAAGATCTTAGAAGGATTTTTAATTGTGACTATGCTGACAACATGAAAATGGCATTTGTCTACACTAAAAATTGACAGATAATCTAAAAAATTATCTTAGTATTGGGTTTTGTACTAGAAACTGATTCTGTAGTGGATGTGTCTTGTGTATTATTATAAATGTTAACTGAAACATCTTGCATAAAACTACTAGAGACTTTCTAGCCACAAAAAAAGTAAACATTTAAATTATAGTGACAGGTTTCAGAGTAACAGCGTGTTAGTTTGTATTCGCAAAAAGAAAAGGAGTACTTGTGGCACCTTAGAGACTAACCAATTTATTTGAGCATAAGCTTTCGTGAGCTACAGCTCACTTCAAAAGATCTTCTACACTTCCCACAGTATGCATCCGATGAAGTGAGCTGTAGCTCACGAAAGCTTATGCTAAAATAAATTGGTTAGTCTCTAAGGTGCCACAAGTACTCCTTTTCTTTTTATTTAAATTATAGTATTACTTAAAGTCTTGGGTTGGGATTTGGTCTATGTTATGCTGAGCAATTTACAAACATAAGTGAGAGAGTTTCTGCCCTGGGGGAGTTAACATCTAAAAGTGTAACTAACTGCATATGAATTAAAAGGAAAATTACTAACTCCTGTGAAGGATTGGGGAAACCACTTAAACCAGAGCTGTGGTAAGAAACTCCAGTCTCATGTTTTTATGACTTGTTGGTGATCTTGAAATTGGGGGAACATGGTATTTACAAGTGAATTGGATACATTTGTCCTGAATGAAGCCATCATTAAAGGAAAAAAGATGGAATTGTTTAACATTAAAATTAGAAGTTTTGAAATTATGTTTAGAAACCTAGTTATAAGTTTTTTATTTCCATACTTCAGTGTATCCAGTGGGCTCTCAAGACTCCCCTCCCATCTTTCTGAACCAATGAAATCGGCACTTTCCCTACTGATCAAGAGTGTATCAAGCTGGTGACTTAAACAGCCCAGTAACTAATTGCTAGAGAATCCTAGGTAACTTTCCATTATCTGTCTAGTTGTTACCAAAACTTTTGATGTTGTATGTAATTTGCCTGTTCAGGCTTACCTTGCAGTAGATATCTGTGGGAGAATGTGGCTTTGCTGCTAAACAAGCAGTGAAAGGAAATGCCTCATACACAGTTGAATGAATATAAAATTTTCTTTTGCTTCAAGGTAGTTGCTAAAAATGTAGCTTTCTGAAGGTGGTATGGAGTGTTTTTTAGTGACTTGTGTTTTACCTTGGGCCTTATCTCTGGTTTTGATTGAGTGGTCATACTCATAAGCACAAGATTAATTCTCCTAGCTATTGAGACTTCTGTACACAGAGAGGACATCCAGTGCACCCTCTCTCTTTCCTCTTCCCCCCACCCCCTCCGCATCTGTAGAGTAATATTCTGTTCCATTATTTCAGCGCAATGGGCAATAAAGGCTTGGTTGTTGTGTCCAACACAGCTTTTAGTTAAAGGGATTGCAGGGTTTATTAATTGTTGGTGAATCTGAACAATTTTGATACAATGTAAATGTTAGAAACATTTTTCCTAACTCTACAGTCTCGGCCTGGGTTCTTGCTATATAATGCATATCCGTACATACTAAGGTCCTGTAAGCCAACATTGTCTTCAGTGACACCTGTGCATGCAAGTCATAGTCTTTGGGTTGGTTGCAAAGGTATAACTGATACCAGGAAGGAAGAACATTAGTTGCTGTGGCTCTGCAGTGTTAAAGGGGTAAACATAATTGAATTATTTGTCAATAAAATAAACAGATTGAAATCAGAAAAGAAAAACTGCTGTTTCAAGAGTGCTGTCGTATGGTCACAGAACAACTGCACTCTTAATAAACAGGGTTTAACTGTGAAACTTAGACACTGCTTAAATCTTACCAAAAAGCAGCTTCTTGTGGTAGGTCAAGTTATGTGCCTACCAGACTTATTTCTTTATATGCTGCTTTCCCAAAAAGCCTCAAACTTTCTTTATTAAGGAACACATAAGTGCCATCAGTTCAGTACTCATGTACAACTCTACCAGATGAAACCAGTTTCTCACTGGGAAGAGAGAACAAACCTTAAACTACTGCTATATCAAATAGTTCATAAGTGCTTGCAGTTTGAGTCCCACTATCGTTAGATGGAGTAGGAGGGGGGATGGTGGGTAGAGGCACGTATATAACTAGTAGGCTGGTGGTGGTGGGGGAACAACCTTAAAGAACAGTCTCATAAATACATTTCCTCTTCTAGTTAAGAATTTTAAAGAAAACTAGCATGAAACAAGAAAAGGAGGACTTGTGGCACCTTAGAGACTAACCAATTTATTTGAGCATGAGCTTTCGTGAGCTACAGCTCACTTCATCGGATGCATACCGTGGAAACTGCAGCAGACTTTATATTCACACAGAGAATATGAAACAATACCTCCTCCCACCCCACTGTCCTGCTGGTAATAGCTTATCTAAAGTGATCATCAAGTTGGGCCATTTCCAACACAAATCCAGGTTTTCTCACCCTCCACCCCCCCCACACAAATTCACTCTCCAGCAGGATAGTGAGTTTGTGTGTGTGGTTTTTGGGAGGGGGGTGAGAGAACCTGGATTTGTGCAGGAAATGGCCCAACTTGATGATCACTTTAGATAAGCTATTACCAGCAGGACAGTGGGGTGGGAGGAGGTATTGTTTCATATTCTCTGTGTGAATATAAAGTCTGCTGCAGTTTCCACGGTATGCATCCGATGAAGTGAGCTGTAGCTCACGAAAGCTCATGCTCAAATAAATTGGTTAGTCTCTAAGGTGCCACAAGTACTCCTTTTCTTTTTGCGAATACAGACTAACACGGCTGTTGCTCTGAAACCTAGCATGAAACAAAACTTAGTGACCATAAATGGCACCTGATCATTAGTAACATAGACTAAGCTGTCATTCTTTTTTAATTTTTTTCTTTAAACAGTCACTCCTGCTTTGGTGCATCCTGCTGACTATTTAATGGGGATTTGATGAATGCAGATCAGGTGACCTGACATACTTTCTGCTGTTTAAGTATAAGACTCACTTTCTCTTTATGGAGGAATGTCTGACAGCAGAAATATAAAATCCTTAGTAGTAGTGAGACATTCCCGTCAATAGAAAAACCAACAGTGATGTTGCTGGAAAATTAAGGGCAATGAAATGTTTTCTGATAAAACTAAGAACTTGGGAGTTGATTCTGATGGCTCTAGGCACTATTCATATGCCACTGTGTAATAATGTGGCGTGACCTTGATACTTCCTCTTTGCTCTGAGTGGGACTATAAGATTGCAGAGGCAGTGTATTTAAAGCTGTTATCTTTTTGCACCTGGCTGTTCCAGTACCACCTCCTGTAAGGATGAGGGGGACGAGAATAAAAAGTGCTTTAGAAACCTCGGACTACTCACATTTACTCTACCCAGGGACTAGGTTAAAAACTGGCACCTTGTTCATCATATCTGTTCCTCTTGTAGTCTCACATTTGCTGACTCCAGTGACAAAGTTACTGCTTCCATTTTACTCTTGTTGGCTGCTTTGGCTTTCAATACTGAGAGCAAGTGTTCTTTTGTTCAATCATGCACATAAGCAGAATTGTTCACAATGTACCAGTTACTCCCATGCAAACCCATTTAGGGCAGTGGAGTTGTGCAGTTATAAATAAGGGCCTAGTTTGGCCTGCAGAAAGTATTACTAATGGTAGTACACACGATGGGAAAATAATCTTGACACTTTGCGCTCAGGATGAGTTTCCATGACTGCCTGTTTAGCTTCTTGTTTTGTTTTAAACAGATCAAACTCTGCTTGGAGATCAAGAAACACACATGCAAACCCATGATGCCATTTTGTCACTTTTCAGAGTAGAAGTGCATTATCGTGCTATAGTCATAGTTGGAGGGTATAGTTTCTGTACCACTAGTAGGCACGTAATTACTGAGATGACATTATGTCTAATGCACATCAGTTATAACTACTGTTCAGATATACTGCTTCAATTATAGCTCGCCGTAACCTGATTTTTATCTAGGGGCTACTCTACACTGGCAGTGCTTTAACATGGCTTGTGTAGGCATGGCACGGGGTGCTGCGGGAGAGCTCTCCCCAGCGCTCTTAAACCCATCTTCACAAGGGGCATAGCTACCAGCGCTGGGAGCCCGGTTCCAAGCGCTGGTGCACTGTCTACACTGGTGCTTTACAGCGCTGAAATTTGCTGCACTCGGGGGTGTTTTTTCACACCCCTAAGCGAGAAAGTTGTAGCACTGTAAGGTGCCAGTGTAGACAAGTCCTAACATGAGTAACGACTAGGCCACTTTCAGAGTGTAGGAGATGTAAGTAGTAACTACATGTTGCTACACTTATGTAGGTAAAAGGGGTTGGAGTAGCACTAAGTTGCACGAAGACAGGAAGGCATATTTGAGGTTGCTTTAGAGTAGTTTTGTGGGAGCAGGAGAAACAGACTTTACATTGAACTGTGTCCATGTAAAACTACTGTTGATAAATTGAGGTGGTGGAGAGTGTAAATCACCTGTAGACCACTTTTTCCTTGAGGATTTAATATAGAAGATAGTACTCAGATAAGTCATTAAATACATTACTGTTCACTTCTATCCTAGGACTTAGTAAACACTTTACAACTCTCAAATTAAACTTCTCAACAGGATTGTAAGAAAAAGCCTTTATGGGTACTTAGTCTTGGATTTTTAATTTTTTTTTTTAATCATGTTACTGCTCCTGCAGCAGCGCTTTGAAGTACGAGGAGTGTGGTCACGTGGGAGCGCTGGGAGAGAGCTCTCCCAGTGCTCCTGGTAATTGGAGGGCTCCGAGCTCCTGGTGCGCTGAGAGCCTGTTTACACTAGCACTTTAAAGTGCTTTGACTTGCTGTGCTCAGGGGGGTGATTTTTCACACCCCTGAGCCAGCAAGCTAGAGCGCTATAAAATGTAAATGTAGCTAAGCCCTATGTCTGTACAGTGAAGTCCTGACCTGCTTATGGCCTTTAGGTACTAATGCCGTGTATATGGTGGTGGAACACTGCTATTAACAAAATGTAGGTTAAATAAACTAAATCTTTTTTAGATAAGGGCCAAAGATCTAAATCATGTCACCTTTTAAAAATATTGATTATGCTTTTTCAGTTATAGATAATTATGAATTATAAACATTTTTAAATGCCATTACTTAGTGGGCTATCTTATTTGAATCATACAGTACTGCTATATGCAAAAAACAAAATACTGAAATTAAGGCACTGATCCAGTAAACATTTAAGCAGGTACATAACTTGACTTCAGTGGAACTAATCTTGCGTTTATAGATCAGCACATGCATAAGTGACTGCAGGATCAAGGCTAAAATTGTTTTTTTTTTTTTTTTTTTGGTCTTAGGGCATAACTATAGCTGAACCCCTTGGTAACAGTGACTATAATATAATTAATCTTAGCATCCAAAATAATACAAAAAAAAATCCACCACGGTAATATTTAGCTTTTAAAAAGGGGAACTACATAAAAATGAGGATGTTTGTTACGTGGAAAGTAAAAGGAGCTATCAGAAGGGTTAAATGCCTGCAGGCAGCATGGGGACAACTTAAAAAAAACATAATAGAGGCTCAGACTAAATGGATACCCTAAATCAGAAAGTACAGTAAAAGGATCAAGAGTACCACCATGGCTAAACAGCAGAGTAATGGAGACCATTATAGGCAAAAAGGCATCCTTTAAAAATTGAAAGTCAGATCCTAGTGAGGTTAATTGGAAGGTGCACAGGAACTTGAGAAACAACTTGCTTAAGAAAAATTCTTAATGTGGTTTTTTTTAATAAGTACAAATGGAGTATGTCTACACTTTAATTAAACACCTGCAGCTGGCCCATGTCAACTGAATTGGGCTTTCAGGAACAATTGGGAAAGAGACAAAGTATTATAATGCCTCTATAAATCCATGGTGCAGTCACACCTTGAATACTGTCAAGTTCTGATCACCCCATCTCAAAAAGGATATAGT